GTTTTGTGTCTCGTAGACACAGAGATCATAGAGCGGAGAAGGTTTAAAGCTGTTCTTATGAACGTGAAGGTGTCTCAGACACGCGAGCCTCGTATTAGGCAATCGTTATATGTGAATTGTGGATATTCACAACTTTAATGAGGGGGGTGTAACGAGGTCACACGTACCTTTGCAAGAATGGGCGGATCGTGCAAGATTGCGAGACCGTACATAGGATTGCATCAGAAAATCAGTGTAATCATACAGTGGTATGGCTACACCATATCAAGAAGCCACAACGTGGCAGGATTGCCAGCAGTAATGCTCATTACTATATTAATAAAAAAATACATATTAAATATTATTTGAGTTTTGCTGTATTAATTAGGTATTACTATATTAATTAGAAAAACCTAGCGTTTTAGATATTGGCGGCTCTGCCGCGACTTAAACAATCAATACAGTTTCCCTTTGAGCAAAAGTGTTCGTTTTGCCTTTGAAACTTAGGAGAAGCGGATTGCTATCCGCTACACTTGTATTGGTTGTTTGAAAGAACGTAAGGTTGGTGACGTTAGCGTAGCTTGCTCTAAGCAAAGAGCTACGGCAGCTCCGCTGCACTTTAAGTAAGACTTAAATAGTCTCTTATAATAATATTTCAGTCTGATTATAGATGAATTTTCTCTTCAAAGCTAGAATTCACCATGTTTTAGATGTTTATAAATATTTTTGGCCCGCAAGTTAAGCTAATTGAATATACACCGCTGGTAACACGATTTTTGATCGGTGCGCGCTATGCGGCACTCGAAGAGAGCCGGTCACTTTCACAGCGTTATGTCCTAACCATTATTTGTTAATTCTCGTACTTTAATACGCCTACTAAGACGATGCGGATCACCACAACATGTATCGTTTTTAATGCTCTCGTGGTGACAATATCTCTTCTATCAAGGCACTGCATGTGAATGCTAGTTCTCGACCGCAAAAGTCTCGCTTAGACGCTGCTACCGCGACGCAATAATAGTATATTTAAAGCCAGGTCATCTAATCCCACTTGCCGAACGATAGAAATACTCTCCGTCCCTGTTTTTGGAGGGCTAGAAGCTTAGCATATGCTGTATTGCCTGGCTAAAGCCTATTGTTTGGTGTATCACAAGCGCATTATCATAGCCGGAGAACTAAGTTAGGTAAAAATTACCACTTCCGGTCCTTGGATCGCCATTTGTGTTACTCCCTCAAAACCAACTTGAACCACGTGCATAGAAAACACGTCTATTGACCTGATATCAGACATGGGTTTCCATTCCTGGAGATGGCAGTAAATGAAACTCACTCGTCCATTCAACGATAAGTATTACCTAGAGTGACGGAATTACCGTGAAAGAGGAGGCTTTGATACTTTGAGTTCGCATCAATAAAGTACAGAAAATGGGCTTGCTTCCCCCACCCAGCGAGAGCGAGGGTTTTCAAGTACAGTTTTTTTCTTATTCATGCGGTACATACATTAAAATCCGGCCTTATGTCAAGTCATACTATAGATAAGTCCGATTTATAACGGCTGATATTGATCGGGATAACTTAGACAGAGATGCCATCAGGTGGTAGAACGACTAGAACATATGTCTTTGATTTTGTTAACAATAATTTGTTTGCAACGCAAACATGAGATCATTGACCCTAGATTCTTGTCAAAATTACAATCAGAATCGACGTAGACAACCTGCAATACGTTATTGACTTGACCAGAACCGAAAAAAAAATATTTGTTATTATTACCACGTTGAAAGTAGTATACACCTTCCGTGGTATTAGGACTGGTGGAAGTATGGGGGTGAATGCTTTACAAACGTACCAAATACCATATATCTGACTCAGTTTCTGTAAGAAGAAGACGATCTCCTACAACTCCATGGCACTATTATATGCCTGTCCGCGGCTTTTTCAATTAGCTGCGCCCCGCGTAATTCCTCTCTTCTAATTAAAGAGTACTAAGAGATGGACTTTCTGGCTGGATTGGCCGACGAGACCTTTGCTGGAGGACGTCGAGTCCCAGTAGGCTCATACTCATCCGCCGAAATACACTGGACTCGATTTTACATCGTTGTGGTCAAGGGCAATGGCACGGAAGGGGGCAACTCTCTCTCAGTGATGTGGGACTCACAGCTCAAGGTTATTTGTCATGAGCATCAACGTATTTGGCTTTGTAAGGCCTTAAAAAGTCTTTATCGATTGAGATGCTTCATCCGTTTACGTACAACATACGACTGTTGATACGAGGACACTAGATAGAATGTCAATTTTATTTTTTTAAAACTTCGCCAAATTTGACAGTGTTTTATAGTGTGGCACGTTGTCCGGATCTGAGCTACGATACCATCCATGGGAGGACGTGACTCTGAACTTCATGATCCGTGAATCGCCCGGAAGTCAGAATTGCTAGGTACCTCATATTTCTAAAGCTCATGTATGACACGAACCCACCTTTGCTAGTAAGCAGAAGCGCTTGTAGCGTGGACAAGACGTGGTAATGACTTATGCGCATGACATGAGTCTGTCCGAATTTATCAGTCGCCATGCTCTTTGATTGCCTTAGTTAAGCTCCAAGAGCAGAAGCAGCAGAGAGCCGCGGTTTAAGAAGACCCTCTGCAGCGGGGCTGTCGTATTTCTTTGCTTGAAGGAAGCTCACTAAGGTCACCGACCTTTCGTTGTATACTAGAACCAGTATGAGTGTAGCGGATTGCAATATGCTACCGCCAAGAGATTCGAAAACCTTAATCCGAGGCAAAACCACTCTTCCGTTGAAAACTGAAACTGTATTTATCTTTTTTTTGCATAACTACTGTCAGTCCCGCCACGTAGTGGCTTCTTGTTAAGGATTTGCCTGATTACGCCGTCTTATGTAATCCACACATTTGTGCCGTAACACCATCTTTTGTGACCCACCCTTTCGTACCACGGCACGTGTAACCCCTATATATTTGGCATACAAGACACATTTCGATCAAAATCATTGAGAGATATGCTACTGTATGTTCGATACATTCGCCACCCTCATGGTGGTACGCACCACCGAATTTCGAGATCAGTAATCCTAGAGTCCGCATATCGAGGTAGTCGCAATCAACTATTTATAAGCTAACTCAATTTGAACAAACTCATGTGGATAGTAGTCAGTTGCTAGTAACACTGCATTGTTCATATTGGCAGCAGTATAAATTGCCAACGAAGATGTATAACTAAGCAACGACAAATAACGACATTGTATTTGACAATTTTGCAGACATTGCAGTACAGAGATTACACTCATGTAAATTAGAGGTTCCGCCAAACACAAGCGTTGTATGTAACACCTTTTCGTCCACTCTTGACTACGTTCTCGGCTTCCGTTACCATTTTTCTGCCTTTGCCTACGATTTCATAAGCCCTCGGAGACACTAAATCTAAGAGGTGCAAGCCGAGTATACAAGAGGATGTTACGCCCAAGAAGATGATGGAGTCAAACCATCATGAGAATCTATACGAATATTGACGAATTAGCTTGGACCATGCAACTCAATTGACGTTGCTTACACCTGCTAGTAACAACATATGTTGTCACTAGTACAGGATAGACGCCTAGGTTTCCAGTTCGTTGATAAGGTGTGAGCCATAACGTCTCGACAATTCTTTTATATTTGACGACAGAGAAAGCAAAAACGCGAAATGAAATTGAAAAGGATGAGAAATGGGAAAACATGCGGTATATTCAGTGGCGCACGGAATTTATTCTTCAGACAGTACCATATCTTCTAATCGTATCGATGGTTGTTTCTTCAGCAGAAGCTTTAGTTAGCTTGAGGAATAATTTTCAAGGGATGATTCATTCTTGATTTCAGAATAGAGGTCTGCACAGGATCTGTCGTTAGTGCTTTCGTACGGATAAAATAATTTTGTTTGCAGGTAACCCTCCCTGATTAAAAAATGACCTGGAAAGGATCTGTCACAACTACATTGTAGAAACTTTCTGTTATGTCCGCTAATGATATATTCGAGTCCAGCAGTCTTACACAACGATTGCAAGATCACCAGGAACTAATTTAATGAAGGCGACAACGCGTTCGCCAAGCTTTTAAAGTGAGCGATATGTATTTAGGCGCTCAGTGATCCGGTGACGTATTATCTCGCCCAATATTTGGTCACTTTGCCGCCGAATCATCGGGCAAATTATTGTGAATTAAGTGATGATGCTTTTGACCTTTTGAAGGGCCTAGAAGGTCCCGTGCCTATGCTAACTACATGGCGTCTGGACCCGGCGTCTATATACTTTTAGATGTCCATGATCACGTTTAGGATTGGGCTTTCCTGGATAAAACATTGCAAACGGTAACATGTGTATGAATCCTATGATTATTAGTTGCTTTCAAATCCAGTGCCTTACCCGCACAGCCCTATGAATGAGTGTCAGATGCTCCATCCGATGATTAAACTACCTTCAGCCAGAATGACTGACCCTTATGTGCGACGACTTTTTGTCCCTATTTTTCGAATTTACTACAGCGTGTGGTATTGCCTCTTGAGCGGCCAGCTGTAAAATGCACTATCACTTTGTTGGCAGCGAAATACAGTGATAGCAAGTGTAGGCTACAACACACACTTACATTGCAGTTGAATTCATTTTTTTCTCGCGGAACTGCGCTCGAAGTGCTATTCGATCTTGACAGTTTTTTTACTGAAAGCTTTTGGTTTTGGTCCACTGAATAAATAACAAAAGTACGCAGAGATGTCATTTTTACCTCATGAAGTCGATACACATTAAGTGCTTACAGCAAGTTGCTTCTATTGTCGATTGTCTACCACCACAGATGTGCAATTGTTTTGCGTGCGCCTCGGTGGTGGCGACTCGTGTATGTAGCAAATACATAAGCGAACTATGGCTTAAGGCTTTACGAGCGAGTGAACGTAGTCATTAAGGCTGACGGGCTACAGAGCGAGGTCACGATGGTAGCGCCAAGAAAAATAACATTTTTGATAAAATGAACAACGTCATTACACGGAGACCACCATCAGTAGGGCGCTAGCTGCATAAGTAACATTATAACTAGAGTACTAATGTCCTCATGAATCCAACAGAAACGGTCAAGCAACGATTGGGGATTGGGGAGAACTCACCGCTCTATGAGAGTATGCGCGAATCATCCAACGAGTGTGACTGGTATCGACAAGCTACATTTTTAGTGAGTCACAGATTACAAATTAATGTTGGTACCAGCACCAACATGAAAGAGTAGAGATAAAGGTGACCAGATTTCGTTCATTTCGCGGTGATAGCAACGTTTTCGGTCGCAAATTGCGACCCAGTGACAATTTTGATATTTGATGCTATGAAGCTTGGTTAACTCTTAGCGCCTGACATGTCTCCGTTGTGATGTACAGTCTTGCTCATTGTCAGAGTTGTCGCTGAACATATTTTACACCGACAAATCATCAGACAGAAGGAAATAGCGTTAATGAATCGATCAACTTTTATTTTCATAATTACGAGAATATTGGGCAACTCTGGTTCGAATCCATCGCGTGACTGTAGCTGCTACTATAAGCAAAACGTGCTGTGTCTTGCGACGAAAAGTAATAATCCGAGCTATGCCACATTGAGTTTGACAAAGATCCGAGTTGTAGCATGACATTTTGAGCACTAGGACGTTTATGCGGCCGCTGATGCCAGCATGCACACATGATATCGATAAACTCAGACGGTGCATGTCGCAAATAAGCCGGTGGTAGTGCAGGACGTTCACCCGCTGCCACCAGCTGTCGCACTTGATGATCAAAATTGACATTGCCAAATGGAACAGCTCCGTTTGTTAAGATTTCCCACAAAGACATACCGAAGCTGTACATGTCTGTCTCGCGATTAAATTGGCACTCACTTGGATTTTTCATAATTTCGGGTGCATTCCAACGCCAAGTACCAGCAAAAGTCGTAAGCTCAGAAGCGGCATTATCCTCCACACATAAACTTTCATTGATCGATTGCAATGAATAAAGCGACTGCGCCGATAGTTGTTGTGAAAGGACCTGTTTTTGTACTGAAAAATTTGTGGCGATCCGTGCAATCCCAAAATCTGCAATTTTGGCAGTCCAATCAGCAGTAACAAGAATGTTGGAGGCCTTAAGATCACGGTGCAAGTAGATAGGCTTTCGATTATGCATGAAGGCCAAACCTTTTGCCGCTTCAAAGGCTAAACGAACCCTTGTGTTCCACTCCATGAGCGGATTCGCCCGAAGCACATCTCGTAGTGATCCACGCGCGCAGTACTCACTATGTCAAAGCAGAAACAAAATAATCAATCGCGGCTTTCAACTATCAGCGAGGGACTACGTACTTGACGAGGCACAAGCTTTTTTTATAAGTGCCAAGTTTAATGAAGAGTGTGATGTTTGGATGGCGCAACTGAGCAGCCAACCCAGCTTCATCGAGAAATTCTGCACGCAACTCAGCCAGATGCGTCATGTACAATGAGGTATCAGTAGTGTCACCAGCATACAGTCGCAAACACTTCAACGCGACAGTAATTCCTAACCACTGTGCTTTGTACACTTTCGAACTGGACCCCTCGCCAATCTTCACGGCAGCTTCATCCGTCACCATTTCAGAAATAACATTAAGGCTTCCAACATGTAATCCACCTCGAGAATCGGATACGCCATTAGTAGTAAGTGCCGTATATCCTGTACTATCAGGCGTCTCGCTTTCTTCTGTCATTACGCCGGCGGATATATCAATCGATGATGATGGCGTATCACTACATCGCAATTTGACTTCATGTGCAGGCAGTGCTGTCTCAGTTGCCTTAACACAGAAACAACAGCAGCTGAAACTTGTGCCAAACAGCAGAGCATTTGTCACGGTGATAAAATAAGTCAGTGTCTCCGCAACAACTCCAACACCTACACAGCTTCTGGAGAAGATGACTGCAAATGCATACGGTAGTGTGAACACAATCGCACAGAGGCAGTAGCCGGTTAGACGTCGAATGATGTTTCGACCTCGAACGGACGCATTCAGTCTAGATTTTTTCACGGCTCTAAGATTGACGACAATGAGCAACAAGGGCGTCAGTTGCATTACAAATACGAGTACAGCAGTGACAGTATACGCCAGCCCAAAATCGCTCGACCCTTTTTCACTTAGGGTGGGAAGGAGGGCATGCATACATCCGTAAACGAGTGAAGTTAGCGACGATAACAGCAAACTTCTTTTGATATGAAGTGCCTCCAAACTGCCGAGTCTCAAAAGCAACGAAAGGTTTGCAGTCCAGTAGAAAGACATGAAGAAGCTAAAGCGCGAAAGAAGCGTCAAGATGAAGTCCTTCGTTGTGTAGTGCAAACCCTTCAGATATTCATCTTCGTGCCAACATCGTGCCAAGTACGATGTTCGTAGCGCTTGCTTTATTGCCTCAATCCCAACAAAGGTTAAGTCCGCCAATGCAATACCACTTAGCAGCAGGTCGGCCATGCGTCGCTTCGGGCGATGAAACATAGACGAGTGTAGCAATAGAAAAAGCGCAGCCGCGGCGCCAGCCCCCAAACTAGTCCAATGAACAGCCTGCCAATATGATAGCATGTTTGATGGCGTCGCCATTGTGCAATCAGATCTTTGGCGGGCAATTCGCTCCCCTGATCGCTAGTTGGAAGTGTTCAGTGATCCTGATTCAATGCGAGCTCATCTACTCAAAAAATTACCAAGACATAGTGAAATCAAGTGAATATATTCATTTCTGTTCGACAAGTTGCGAATTTCCTGCACGGCTTCTGGTTACAAATATTAGCCTTCGTTAGCTCCGACTGCACTCTTGGTCCCCTTTGTAATCAAACACATATTATTTCAGTGCATTTTTTCGCCCGAATGGCGTTTTAGTATCCATCCTCACAGAAGTGGTACAACCCGGATTTTATTTTGTGGTGAACTATGTGACGCATGCGAATTTTAATGTATCAACCGATGGTAGCGTACGCGGCCCAAGACAGATGAGCCGATCAGCTGTAGCTCGCCAATGACTGCACAAGAGTGCGTGAGAGCTCATTGGTATCGAGAAACGGATGCAAACAACATTGCAGCAACCCAGCTGGTGAGGACTTCTCTGACTTCGGTGATGACATGGAAATCGAGGACTTGGTGGTTTTTCTCGAAGCCGCTTTTGCTGCACTGTTTAAGAAGATGGAGTCGATGGCCGCACTGCGCTGATCAGAGCGATATCATGGCCGATCTGAAACGAGCTGAGGAACGGCAATGACGAAGGGTCTCTGTGTTTCTTACATTTTTGACACTTCTACAGTATGATTTAATACTTCTCACGAATAGGGCTCTGCCTAAATTGTCGGCTAGGATTTTACTTTGGCGTACAATCATCGTTCCAGATGTCAAATGAGCGGAGAGAGTGCAACGCTCGCTTAATAGATTTATCACGATCGAGTATGTTAGCCTCCCTAAGTATATGCCACACTTCTGGCACTAGAAATGAGCTCCATGATAATCATTTGTAGTTCAGAATTGTAGCGATAAAACAGTAAACAGTTGACTATTGAGAAGGAAGCACGCTCTTCATGAATTGTGAAATTGTAAAGCTTTGTCATTATTTCCGGGCGTATTTTTATAAATTTACAATCTCACTTGATTTTGATATTGAGCAAAAACCACATTTCGTATATTATAATACAAAGTGAACACCGCCGATAAAAACCCGGTGGCGTGGGTCGAGTGGTCAGTGCTTCTGGACCTAACGTTGTGTGGCGCGGGTTCGAGCCCCTCAGCAAACAAAATCGTTATCGTACCAGACATGCAAGAAATGTCGGCTGCATGCAAAATATTACCGACGACAGCCAACAAGGACTTCGGGATGGCGACTAGTACAAGAAAACCAAGAATTAAAATCAAGAAAATAAAACCCCAGCGGAATGAAGCAATGAAGCAATAGTCAGGGCCGAGCAGGAATAGCCGTGTAATAAGATAATACATAGCAACTTTCAACTGAACACCGCCGATAAATGAGCGAAGGAAACTCCATTTACAAAATTGGGCTGACAATATACGTCTCTCAAATGCCTCTTCCCCCCATAATCTGCATTATTTATTTTCCTCGATAACGAGGCCATCCGTTACGGTTGACGATCTCATCTTCTTGTATTTCTAACAGTACCAACAAAATAAGCTCGCCAAATCGGCGTTAACGCGCAGAGGATGAGTTCACCGACCTGCTCTAAGGTATCGGACAGAGCGCCTTTAAGGTACCAAGAAGTTCTTTGTTCAAATGAAAGTGTGTTAATTATGCTTTTAACTAGCTTATTTACTGGATCTGTTGATAAAAATAGAAGGCTAGATTACGCATATCGGCTGGCGTGCACGTGCCCTTCTGGCTTCGCTTTAGGTCCAAGCGACAATACTATGATGTGTACAAATACTAAGATATCTTGAGTCCAATTGATATGATTTGAGAAAAACCAACCTAAAATACGGAGTGTTTTCACATTCAAGAGTTAACGCTGATAAAATAGAGATTGCCACTTTCAATTTAAACACCGCATGTGAAGATAGATCTTTTCTTTTCTTCTTCTCTTTTCGATGAAGACTAATCTATAAATTATACTTTTATCACTTAATTTGAATTCTTAATTGTATTCTTCCGTTTGAGATTGTTATCTTGGAATGTTGGCTATCGTAGTGCATGTATTGACATCGATGACCAAATGTGGCACTAGGTTCTCCAACATTCAGGATAGCTAAGCTGAAGTACAATAGATGGAAATCATTAAAGCAACACATGTCACGGGTTATCAGCACCGTCCAGACCGGCGTACTGGGTGCGTTCGGACGCGTCTAGGTAGCGCAAACTAGCGGTCTATGGCCAGTAGTTATAAATTCTTGTCGCCGTGATGGCGGCAAGCAATCATGTGGAGGCAGAAGCCATAAAAATGTTTCTGGTTGGTTCTCGAACAGGTGCGTATGGTATATAGCGTTACAGTGTCCATCATACCTCTCTGGATGGAGCGGTGGGTGTCGGACGCGAGGTCCATCTGAGCGCATCAGAAGCAACGCACCAGTCTCGCTGAGGATTTAAATGGATATCCCATCGCTGTGGCGCAGCGACAAGCTCCCAATGATGTTACATCTGGAGTATTTATAAGATTGATGCCATCTGAGATCTATTTTCGCTCGGCTGAGAGGTATAAAGGGTCGAGCTGCCACACAGGTTGCTCGACGAACCCTATCATTATAGGTTTAAATTGCGATACCTTTGGTGCTGGACATGAAAAAGTCTGGGTTGATGAGCAATGAAATAGATAGTGCATGATCAGACCGCTTATTACCGGCGATTCCGCATATCAAGCTCTCAAGATGAGACATAAATTTGCAATCGATGCATACCGCAGTATTCAGCGTGTTTTATTGCTGGGACAAAAACATGCGACGGTATTTTGCAGTCCTCGAAGTATATCTCTGGTCGTTTGTATACAGCTTTGAGCTTGTGGCTCCTGTAGAGCGAGAAATTGACTGTGTTTCACGGCTTAAATATGCCAGTGGCAATGGCGACAACTGACTGCAATTCAAAAGTAGAAGATTCAGACCCTTGGATTATCTGGGATGGCTCGTCCTTGTCCTGATAGAACAGTTCGTCTATGTCAGCACTAAGTTATGACGCGCTAATCGTGCAGTGATCAAGTGGCGGAATAAATGATTATTCCCCCGTGAATAAAGTGACCGAAATTGTAATTCTCCTTTTATCACTCATCGCAGAAACTTTCGTTGTTCTAAGGTACAAGGGCACTCACAGAAATTAAATCAGTATCAGGGATAAAAGAGCTATTCTAAAGAGCTCTGCGATTTTTACCTTAGCTGAAAAGAAAACTATGTTTTGACAAGAGAACCATTACGAGTGCTACCCTGAGATCAAGTAGTGCATGACGAGTTTGACCAGGATTCTCGAGTTGAATTAACTCTTGCGTAAATGGCCTATTTTAAGGGAATAGTTTTTGCCGTATCGATTATCTTCAGCGTGTAGCCCAAGGCCTGATGAGTGAATAACATTTATTTTTTTCGCTCAGCGTGAACGACGGTGTCAGAAATGCTTTATCATTGTTGATGCTCACAATGAGCTGGATGCAGCCACTATTCCAAAGCAAGCGCTGATTCCTGGAAGGATGCCTTGCAGAACGACATGGTCGGTTGCATTTCGCTTGACCCGATGATGTATACGATCTGCAGCGGGGCTGCCGTAGCGTTGCGCTGAGATGAAGCGTAATTTAATTCACCGACCTTTCGTTCTATCCTTGGAACAAGTACGAGTTAGCAGATCGCAATCCGTTTACTCCAAGAGTAATTATTGCCTTAACTCAAGGCTAATGACTCTTCCGTTTGAAATTCAAAACTATTCTTTATTTATTTTTATGGCAAGGCCGCCTAATTTTGAATATTTAGATTTTCCTAAATATATATAGTAAAATTATAAATCATGCATAGCTACTGGCTACCTAGCCAGATACCGTATTCTTGTTTGGGTGCAGTCACACCATGCCCATCTCGTGTGACACACACCCCTATTACCAGGGTACGTGTAACCCCGTTGCACTATCAACCTAGCACAAGGGATAGCAAGTAATATGCTTACTTGGGAGCGGCTGGTCATACCACAAGGACTATCGAAGACACCAGCGAACTATTTGTATAGTAACGCAGCGTTTTCTTAATATGCACAAAGTCAATTTTGACGCGATATTTGTCCATAGTCGAGCAGAAAACGGGTTGTCGGATGGATTACCAAGTGGGTAGTTCTTGAGTGAATTTGTCTCGAACGCTGGTCAACATAGCCAAATAATCTTTGGCGATGATGGAAGGTTCCCTTGGGGTACTTGATCGAAAAGTATTGTTTGTAGGCAAATTTGCCCAAATCGAGGTGATAGTAGACTGGCCATTGCATCTGTGTCAAAGGAGCTTGTAAAATGCCTTAGTCGGACCAGCTACTTGCACAAAGAAAGCGCATATTATGCCGACACATCACCTCTCAACTATCTTTAAAAAGAATGTAAAATGGCGCGGGGCAGTAGAAAGTCGAGAGCTTTTATGCTCTTTCAAACCCCGATGAACAGTTTCATATTGTCTGTGCAATTCAACCTTTGACTATATTGCCATTTTTAAAGACTCAAATGTGTCATCGTGTACTACGATCCAACTGACGGTTTTGCTCTAGTAGTAGCTACTTGGATAGACGTGTGCTCTTGTCAAAATCGAGATGCATTGGCTTTAATGAAGTCATGTGTGATCGATACAGATCATTTGACGCTGCGCATGGTGACATTAACCCCGCTTATCTTACATAGAAGGCTAGATTGCGATCTGCATTGCCGAGCATACCTTCGAGGTAATATATAAGCGGGTTGGTTCAAATAGTGGGCGATTGCGCTTATGCGTCATCAAGACTGTAAACTGGTACATGGTTTGATGGTGACGTCGCGAATTGATGAGGTAATACGTACAGCGTACAGGTCAGATGCGGTATGCGCTGCGCTGCTGAACCTTTAAGAAAGAATTGATATTTTTTTTAAAAGCGCTCGATTGCACATCGGCATTGTTATTTCTATCTCAGTGCTTGCTGTATTACAGCACAAACCGACTTCACACACATTTTGTGGTGGGACCCCACGGTAAGGATCTCAGTTATAGAACACTGTATGAGGCATATGATACCGCTTTAAATGGCCATCAGGATAATTAAACGTTACGCGCTGTGAGTCCTATGTATCAGGTGGTCAGCAAAGGGTAAGCATACATGTTTGCTCAAGTGAGACGTGCAATCACCCTCGCAGCTTGCGACGACTCCTATGACCAGCCAGCCTTTTCTAGTAGATTGGTGGCAGTCTATAACAAGAGCTTTTTTTCGTTTTTAAGAATACGTTTGGTAATGGTCTTTGTGAATTATTCCAGATAATGGTTCATTTTGCTAATATTGCGACACGAATACCGGTGAGGACACAGCTGAGGCGATCTTCAGCAAATATTTTGTCAGCACAGCATATTGAAAGTGTGTTGTCTAATGTAGACCCGCTAGTCAAAGCGAGGCTTCAGCAATGTGCCCGAAATCAGACTGGGCATGTCCACCTTTATACATCTTTAGACAAATGGCCAATCAGAACGCATAAAGATTTTTCAAGGGCACCCTCCGGACCGCGATGCTGAATCGTTCTTTTCTGTTCACCGAGTTCGCAAAGAATAGCGCGGAGCATTAGTCTTCAGACTTTCCGCTTCATATTGGGTTGGACTATCCTATGAGTTTCTTTGACGCCGTCGCAAACTGGTGGAATCTGAAGTGTGGATTATCCATACCATTTATCTCTTTGATATTATCAGGTTTCGTTTTGAAGAAATATTTGATATTTTGTCTTTGTGAAATTGAGCGTCGTGCGCCGGGTGGACGATGCCTTAATGGATAGAAATGTTGGAAATACAACTTCTCGAAGCCAGAGATAGACAGAGAACTTGAAACTATGTTGCGGAGAAAAAAGTGCTTTCAAACTCTATATATCTCCCAACACGTGTCGTGTCTAGTGCCTATACGTGCAAGCCATATTCAAATGCTCTCTGTCTGTGCAAAATAATGAACGATGTAACGATTCTGAAAAGGTTCGACCACATTCTGCGCTCTACGTAAGCTTTTGTAGCCGTATCACAATCATACTTTACCATCCTGATTATGAACTAGTCAAATAGGTAGTACTCTGTTGGAGACAGAGCCCATTTCCTGTTGCTGAGCTACCCGCTGTTCACAGACAGCGACATGATTTCAAGCTGCTTAGATGCCTCAAGTCAATTGTAGCTTAGAGAGCCCATTTGAAACTGAGCTGTCTCAGTGTCAACTGCACGACTAGACCATTTGTAGAGTCGATGTGCCGCCGAAACCGCTAATGAAAGCTAATCATGGACAGGTGATTGACCTTTGTGTGGAGTGATAAGTGGGTCAGCAAGCTCAGCATGACTATTACCAATATCTGATGAAGTAGAATGGATACTTTTTTCTTAAAACCTATGCAAGTTTATGATGTTGCTATTTGCCAAAAAAACGGACTGTCAAGCTTTCTTTCCGCTAGCAGATGTAGCCTGGTCTTATTTCAGCCTCGAGATCTAGTCGGTAGCTGTGCCATCTGTCTCATAGAGATGAACGGACCATTTTTCAGCAAAGTGCTGAGGTGTTGGATTTCCACCTCAATATTTACGCGCGCTTTATGCTTTATGACATCATGCATCGAATAATGCTCTAGTCGGATGTCTGCTTTACTGAATTAAGCTTGTAGAGCTAGAGCAAGGTGGATTTCTCATTCATAACCGGATTGGCTGTAAGAATCGTCGGCATTTTGTTGGCATTCGTGCAATTTCTCAGAATGTTAAAATGCTTGCGAGCCCTATCGAAATATATGTCTTGGTGGAATAGGGTGGAATGGAGTGCGTAATGAACTATTGTGAGTATACACATAGCCTTTGTGTAAATGAACACAACTGAGCTGTATGAATCAGTACTGATGCGGACGATGTGAATTCATAGAGGTAATGCCTGAGAGACACATGATGTAAGCCTCACATCACGTAGTCTCCTGTCTTCGACATTGTTAGTTGTAAATATTTACAATTGATTGCACAAACTATTATCGGCGTGTGATATTCATAAAAAATAGGAGCAGTTTTGGCGTTTAGTAAATTTAAAGTCATTCAACTTTGCTTTTGGGTGAGCCGTAAGAGCCTATTCTTCTGCGCCAGTTACTGCCGACTCATTGAGTCGTGCGATCCCCGTTGCACATTAAGTGCATGCTGTAACGGGGTTACGCGTACACTTGTATGACAGGGCGGGTCACACAAGATGGTGTGACCGTACAAAGATGTGGAATAATAAAGCTGGTGTAATCACACAATAATGTAGCTAAACCATAGCAAGAAGTCACTAACCGCCAGTAGTAATGCGTTTCACTACATTAATTAGGTATTACTCTATTAATAAGGAGGACCGAAGGTTTTAGATATTTGCGGCTCTGCCGCAACTAAAACAATTAAGTGCAGTTTGTATTTCGAACAGATGAGCGTTTCACCTTAGTTAAGGTTTTATTGTACATTTGGAGGTAGCAGATTGCGATCCGCTACACCTGTACTGTTTTTTCTTAACGTAAGGTCGGTGATTTTAGCTTAGCTTCCTCTAGGCAAAGAGCAACGGAGCTTTGCTGAACTTGGTAGCACGCGTAGTCAATTTACGCCCGAGTCGTTACGACTGATACTCCGTGAGATGGTGCAATACTTCTTTGACCCCAGGGCATGCAGTACGGGCCTAATAAGCTAATGTCCCTGCTACGCCCCGAGGGCTCTTCTCTCGTGGAAAACCTTGTTTTTCTAGGTCCAGAGGCGATAAGCGCGCGCCTAGAAGCGTTTTTAAATCATGAAAATGCTTTGCTAGAGCACCTAGAGCAGAACCTCTAAGCGTCGACTGCGTCCATGACGGCACCGTCAGCGACGGGTGATTCCTCCCGACCCAGGCCACTTACGGTGAGCGTTAAGACCTTCGAGGGTAAGGATGGAGAGAATCTCATGCTTTGGATAGGAAAGGCCGAGATGGCTATGACATATCCCATGCTTCAGAATGAGCAACAGCGCGTGGCGCTGGCTATCGCCAAGCTCGTGGGCCAAGCGCGAGAATAAGCGCTGCCGTGCGGTGCTTCGGTTGAAACTGCGTTCCCGTCCTGGAAGGAGCTGAAGCATGCAGCTTTTGCGAGTCTTCTCGTTGACTAAGCAGGCACATCGCGTGCGATTGAGTTTCACGGCAGAGCAAGAAGAGTTTGGTGGACTTTGTCCAGATGTGAAAACTCTCACTGC